CTAGGTCCAGGACTTGCATTCGTCGCTTACCCAGAAGCTGTTGCTCAGATGCCTTTAGCCCCTCTATGGTCGGTTCTGTTTTTCTTTATGGTCTTCCTGCTGGGACTCGACAGCGAGGTATTAGAGCGAATTTGCAGTTTATCATACTTTAAACTGGATATCTTGTGTGTTTTACAAGTCTGTGCATAGACATTGAAGAAAACATGTAGGCGCATATTATGATAATAACCTCTAATTTTTGTCTTACTTCAAGTTTGTAGGCATTGAGGGATTTGTAACAGCCATCGTGGACCTGTTCCCCAGACACTTAAGGCGTGGTTATCGTAAAGAGATTTTCATCGCATTTATGTGCTGTATCTGGTTTCTCATTGGTTTGTCCATGGTTACTAAGGTACCTTCAAAAGCATAAATGATAAACGCAAAGATCTTGTGTTATAACTTCCTGGAACTAAGTTACATGCAGACCCTTATTATGAGCCCTGCAGGACGCGTGTTTCTCCGCCTACGAAAAGATTTGAGTTTTACCTCTGGGATCGGTGCCGGGGATCTGAGTGGCACTAATAATGAGACCTACACTCACTGCACACTTCTTGCCGGTTTGCCTTTCTCAAAGCCTCTTACTTATCCGCAGGCGAAGAAACTCTCGTACCGAGCTCTAACAGTAAGGGACCTTAAGCAAACCACAAAGGTGACGATAACGAGGAAGTGGCAAAACAAAAGATCTAATGAGCAGAACAATAGCGCAGCTCGTGCGTTTTCAAAGTGTGTACATTTCTTAGCCGTCCTCTGCAAAATGACAACGTGAAATCATCAAAATTTGCGTGGTCCGAGAAATGAAACCTCGACGGCAAATTATCTAAGTTTCTATTTGGAACTCAACACTGTTCTCGTATGTTATGCTGAGTTTAACTTGCGGCACTGTAAGAGATGTTAATCATATCCACTCGTTCGCGAAATTCCAGCTAAAAATATATATTCATTTTTAAATCAACGTGCGCGTCTTCTTTGGCGTTGCCGTGTAACTGCAAAAGGTCCCTAATAATAGGGAGCTTAAGCAAACCACGACGACGGCAACGCGGACGCAAAGCAATACCTCGAAATCACCAAAATTTGCGTGACATAAGAACGGAAACTCTGACGGCAGATTATTTATGTTTCCATTTTGAACTCAACCATGCTCACATGCGTTAAGCGTAAGTTGAGGTGTGGCAACGTAAGAGATGGTAAACGCGTCTAGTCATTCGAGAAATTCTTACCAAAAATAAGAATTAGTTTTCTTAATTCAATTAACGTCTTCCTCGGCTTTCCCGTCCTGACTGCTTAAGGTCCTTAATGAGGGCCTCAACAAGCTCCTCTGAAAAGTAACTCTACTTTTTATACCAAATTCCTGGTTAATGAAACCCCGATCAAAAGCCTCCACAGAGTTTTTACTTCACTTAATATTCTCTCATGAGATTGATAATTTGCCAAAAAAACAAAATAATAAAAGATCATAGAACGTAAAAGCAAGTGATTTTTCTGTAGAAGCGCTAACTTACGAAGTATTTCTCTGTAGGAATGCGGAATATGTTTTATGACGACATTTGCCTTAGTTTTTAAGGGATATGTATTTTTATATAGTTACATACGATTAAGAAAATATTGAGCATATGTCTCTTACTTAGAACAAAGCAAACTGCTAATTTAAACAGGACACGACAACCGCAATCGGCAAAAACAGATATAAGCTCTGGTTTTACATATTTAACTTTCCTCTAATCCTAAAACAACGCTATTGTGGTAGGACAGCAGTAAGACCTCTCTTTTAGCCTACATGCCAACGTTTCTCCTTGTTTCAACATACAAAACGACTTCAAAAATAGGTTAGAAGGTCACTATTATAACGAAATCTCAGGGCCCTGTGAGGATTCCGATCGAGCCTGTGTCGATTTCAAGTCTCAGTAATTTCACAATCAGACGAGCAACGAAGAAAGCGTCCGCGAGCTAGATCATATGATAGGTTATAATGTCATATTCACTTCTGCTCGTAGAATTGCAACCCGTGATTTTCATTAAATGTGGATGTTGTTCTTTATTTTTCAGGGTGGGATGTACGTCTTTCAACTAT